TTTAATTTACGTTAAATCGGAATTAATAATAAAATAAGAAAGAAAGGATCCTCGACGTTTTCGATTTCGAATTCGAGCATGACGTGTCCCCCTCCCTCTTCCCCATGCCGGTATTTCGGTTACTTCCAAATTAAAGAGTTTTTTTTCAGATAAGAGGTGATAAATCGTTGGGAAAAAATGTGAGCTCTCGTACGAGAAAATATTTTTCTTATTTTTTTTTTTCCTTTCTTTTTTTTTCTAAATAACTTAACAATATTATGATGTAGATAAATGTGGTAACAAAAAATAATTAAAAACAAATTGGTAAAAAATGCAATTTTCTTTGATAATGTTTATCACATGTGTTCAAACATGTGGAACGTGACGTTGGATTTCTAACGCGAACGAAATATCGGTTTAATTCGAAACGCGAGAGATGTTTAAAAAAGAACAAGAAAGAAAGAAAGAGAGGGGAGAGATGCAAGATAGTAAAAAAAAAAAAGAAAAAAGATAGATAGGAGTGCGGGGGAAGAACGAGTTAAGTGTCATACCTCTTGCGAAATTCTTATTCTATCTCTCTTTCTTTATATACGATTCTTCAACGCACGTATCTAAATACATAAGTAAATACACACATAAGCCCATACACACAGTTATACACGCACGATGCAGTTACTAACATTACGATCAAATAGAATTTCGTTTTACATTAAGTTCAAACGATAAAGTTGCATTAGATCATATTTTTTATATAATATTCGATGCGTAATCGAATTTATTAGAAATCCTATTTGAAAATTCTATTCGAAACTCTATTAGGAAATTTCATTTCTGATCATGTCGTTTGAATTATATTAACTCTCTCTCTCTCTCTCTCTCTCACCCTCTATCTTTTTCTATATTACAATTAATATTCAAATCTATTCAAATTAATGTTTATTAGTTATTTAATAACGAACATAATATGTCTCGTTAATTATTCGAAAGTAATATATCATCACGCGTATCATTTCAATTGATTTATAATATTATCAACGCGAATTTGTTATAATATCATTGAAAATAAAATCGAACGAATATATATATATTCAATCAAACAAAAAAATATACTCGAGCCGATAGAAAAATAATATTTACATTGTTATATTCGTAAATCGTTTCATTAAATATTTCATTCATTCTTCGTGTTATAAAACAGAAAACTAAAAAAAAAGAAAGAAATTAAAATAACGTATAAAAATATTTCATAATTATTTATACAAGAAACAAATACGTACTAGTAATACGAGTGCGTATAAACACACACACACACACACATACACACATGAATAACACGTCACACGTTCGTGATAGCCAATTAGCCGGGGAGATCGGTGAAAAGCTAACTGTCTGGTTCTTTCTTTTTTTTTTTTTTTTTTCTTTCAGGTGCCTTTGCAAAAATGATGATAAAACTTCATTAGAAGAGGGTAGGTT